ACCATCCCTGTGCTGAGTTCCCGGGTCTGTACCCCCGCTGTGCCCATTATGAGGAGCCCCCACCATCCCTGTGCTGAGTTCCCGGGTCTGTACCCCCGCTGTGCCCATTATGAGGAGCCCCCACCATCCCTGTGCTGAGTTCCCGGGTCTGTACCCCCGCTGTGCCCATTATGAGGAGCCCCCACCATCCCTGTGCTGAGTTCCCGGGTCTGTACCCCCGCTGTGCCCATTATGAGGAGCCCCCACCATCCCTGTGCTGAGTTCCCGGGTCTGTACCCCCGCTGTGCCCATTATGAGGAGCCCCCACCATCCCTGTGCTGAGTTCCCGGGTCTGTACCCCCGCTGTGCCCATTATGAGGAGCCCCCACCATCCCTGTGCTGAGTTCCCGGGTCTGTACCCCCGCTGTGCCCATTATGAGGAGCCCCCACCATCCCTGTGCTGAGTTCCCGGGTCTGTACCCCCGCTGTGCCCATTATGAGGAGCCCCCACCATCCCTGTGCTGAGTTCCCGGGTCTGTACCCCCGCTGTGCCCATTATGAGGAGCCCCCACCATCCCTGTGCTGAGTTCCCGGGTCTGTACCCCCGCTGTGCCCATTATGAGGAGCCCCCACCATCCCTGTGCTGAGTTCCCGGGTCTGTACCCCCGCTGTGCCCATTATGAGGAGCCCCCACCATCCCTGTGCTGAGTTCCCGGGTCTGTACCCCCGCTGTGCCCATTATGAGGAGCCCCCACCATCCCTGTGCTGAGTTCCCGGGTCTGTACCCCCGCTGTGCCCATTATGAGGAGCCCCCACCATCCCTGTGCTGAGTTCCCGGGTCTGTACCCCCGCTGTGCCCATTATGAGGAGCCCCCACCATCCCTGTGCTGAGTTCCCGGGTCTGTACCCCCGCTGTGCCCATTATGAGGAGCCCCCACCATCCCTGTGCTGAGTTCCCGGGTCTGTACCCCCGCTGTGCCCATTATGAGGAGCCCCCACCATCCCTGTGCTGAGTTCCCGGGTCTGTACCCCCGCTGTGCCCATTATGAGGAGCTCTTTTTTAATAACGCGCTTTTCACCGCGCTCTGAATTATTGAACGGCGCTCGCTTTGCCGCCTTAAATCATTGGCGGGTAATTAGATATTTTATGACATCATTAAAATGAAATGTGGAACGGGCGTCCTTCCCGCGGATCCGGCGAAGTCCGCAGAACGCGGCATCTTTTGTTGCGAAGCTACTCGGACGCGGCGCGCGCATGAGGATCAATGCAGGAGGAGAACGCACACCTGAAATGAAAGGAAATGTCACACGTGTCCCGAAACGTCAGCGTGCCATTGACCGCGCAAGTGAACGCCGGGTCTGTGGAGGTCTACAGTGACCTTACAGCTGCTGATCCGGGGGGGGGGTGGGTGTTCTGATGGACGAGGGGCCAGAAAAGTCTGCAGTCAGCATTCGCCGGTAGACATCGGAAGAGCTGCGTTTGCGTTTTGCAATTGTGTGCATTCCGCGTCCCCTCCATGTCACAGCGCGCTCACTGAGCGGGCCATCGCCAAGCACCAGCACGGTCATGTGGGAGGGATGCTCCCCCATGCTCGGAAGTACAGAATGGTCCTCTTTGGTCCCGCTGGCCCAAACAGTGGTGAAGGAATGGTGAGCATGTCAGGTGTAGACAACCTCGGCACTTCCAACTGTGCAGACACTACAAATCCCATCACATCTCTGTCTTTGGGAGTCATGCCTGGAGTTTCTCAGTCTTGCAATGCCTCATGGGACTTGTAGTTTCACAACAGCTATTCATTTTGAACAGTTTATTCATTTCTGCCCATCCTTAACTCTACAGTTAAAGCTGGCCATATAGAGCAAACTTTCGGCACCCAGTGACCCCCCCGGAGCTTCCCAAGTCACCCAGTGACCCCCCCGGAGCATCCCAAGTCGCCCAGTGACCCCCGGGAGCATCCCAAGTCGCCCAGTGACCCCCGGGAGCATCCCAAGTCGCCCAGTGACCCCCTGGAGCATCCCAAGTCGCCCAGTGATCTCCAAGCACCCTGTAACTTCTAGTGACCCCAGAGCATTAAACGTTGCCCAGTGACCCCCCGGAGGATCCAGTGTCACCCAGTAAACCCAGAGCATTCCATGACTCTAGTCCACCTGAGCTCCCCCCTGACACCTGTGTATCTCCTGGATACAGTTCCCTGCCTGTGACACTGAATACCATTACATGGATTAGGCAAGTACAATAATTACCATTATTGTATTCAGATGTCAGAATACAGTATTTTTTGACATACGATCCCCTTTAAGTCTATAGAAGTAAATGGATGTGTCCGGTGGGGGAGGAAGGGGGGGGGGACACGCTACTTTAGATTCCTCTGCATCTGATATATTGTGTTTGGATCATCGATAAATCAAACCTCCTGCAGGCTGACCGTACAGATGAACATACCACATAACATATCACAATAACTAAGAGCAATACAAACCATGCCGGCACAGAAATTCAGCGGATATAAAGACAAGTGCCAACGAGGCGCCGTCACCTCACCCCATCACCACACAACAGAGGGATGCTGCCGCAGTACTAATCTACACGGGTGAAATTGGATCATTACTCAGGGCCATCAGGAGAGAGATTATCGGAGGTCTGCGGCTCCACGACAGACGCTGCGCAGAGGAGATCACAAATCTCTGGGACAGATAAATAGAAACCACCCAACACCTAGGCAATTCCACACGGCTTATCAGATCAATGAGAGGAACCATTCCAAAATCTGAACTATTCTCACTAAAGACGCTCACTGAGCCTTATTGCTCCCAAAATAAATGTCTAAATACAGAGCATATCCCCATAAAACTACAGTCAGCCTTAAAGGTCAACTCCAACCAAAACCACAGTTTAGGTTTAGTTTTCCCAGGTTTTTTTTTATTTTTTTAAGAGGCCTTAGTTGTGAGATTCCCCCTCCCAGTAGTGTGTCTCTGCCCCTCCCACAATGGTGAGATTCCCCTCCCAGTAGTGTCTCTGCCCCTCCCACAATGGTGAGATTCCCCCTCCCAGTAGTGTCTCTGCCCCTCCCACAATTGTAAGATTCCCCTCCCAGTAGTGTGTCTCAGCCCCTCCCACAATGGTGGGATTTCCCCTCCCAGTAGTGTGTCTCTGCCCCTCCCAGTAGTGTTTCTGCCTCTCCCACAATGGTGAGATTTCGTCCAGTAGCTGTGCCTCAGCCCCTCCCACAATGGTGAAATTTCCTCCAGTAGTTGTGTCTCAGCCCCTCCCACAATAGTGAGATTTCCCTCCAGTAGTTTGTGTCTCTGCCCCTCCCACAATGGTGAGATTCCCCCTCCCAGTAGTGTGTCTCTGCCCCTCCCACAATGGTGAGATTCCCCTCCCAGTAGTGTCTCTGCCCCTCCCACAATGGTGAGATTCCCCCTCCCAGTAGTGTCTCTGCCCCTCCCACAATGGTGAGATTCCCCCTCCCAGTAGTGTTTCGGCCCCTCCCACAATGGTGGGATTTCCCCTCCCAGTAGTGTGTCTCTGCCCCTCCCAGTAGTGTGTTTCTGCCCCTCCCACAAAGGTGAAATTTCCTCCAGTAGTTGTGTCTCAGCCCCTCCCACAATAGTGAGATTTCCCTCCAGTAGTTTGTGTCTCTGCCCCTCCCACAATGGAGAGATTTCCCTCCAGTAGTTTGTGTCTCTGCCCCTCCCACAATGCTGAGATTTCCCCCAGTAGTTTGGAGTAGTTAAATCAAGTGAATAAGCAAAATTATATAGTGAGGGACATTATGAATTCCCATCAGTTTTGGGTTCTGTTGACCTACAATATCTCTCCAGGCAAAAATCAAAAAAGCTTTCTTGGTGATCCCACTGTTACCGTTATTACCACATGACTTCCTGTGCTGGGCTGACAACGCTATGCAGCCACAATTCAAAATGGCCGATTCCCCCAAACGTTGGCAGTACCCAGAAGCTGCATTATTATTACCAGCTTTTTCTTTCTATATTCCAAAATGCTCGGCACGTCGGAGACTTCCTCCAGTGCGCATGTGTTATTAACTGAGCTCTGGCTGTCCCTTAATCTAGATAGTAACATACAGCAACTCTCCTCTTCCAATATGGTGATGTCACTTCCTGTATGAATGTCCGTCCTGATGCAAATCTCTACCTGCCACTGGGGACCAGCGTCAAAGATTAGAGGTTACGTGACCACAGACAAACACATTTTATTGTTTTCTTTGTTTAAACATCAATGAAATAGTGAGATTTCCCTCCAGTAGTTTGTGTCTCTGCCCCTCCCACAATGGAGAGATTTCCCTCCAGTAGTTTGTGTCTCTGCCCCTCCCACAATGCTGAGATTTCCCCCAGTAGTTTGGAGTAGTTAAATCAAGTGAATAAGCAAAATTATATAGTGAGGGACATTATGAATTCCCATCAGTTTTGGGTTCTGTTGACCTACAATATCTCTCCAGGCAAAAATCAAAAAAGCTTTCTTGGTGATCCCACTGTTACCGTTATTACCACATGACTTCCTGTGCTGGGCTGACAACGCTATGCAGCCACAATTCAAAATGGCCGATTCCCCCAAACGTTGGCAGTACCCAGAAGCTGCATTATTATTACCAGCTTTTTCTTTCTATATTCCAAAATGCTCGGCACGTCGGAGACTTCCTCCAGTGCGCATGTGTTATTAACTGAGCTCTGGCTGTCCCTTAATCTAGATAGTAACATACAGCAACTCTCCTCTTCCAATATGGTGATGTCACTTCCTGTATGAATGTCCGTCCTGATGCAAATCTCTACCTGCCACTGGGGACCAGCGTCAAAGATTAGAGGTTACGTGACCACAGACAAACACATTTTATTGTTTTCTTTGTTTAAACATCAATGGTAAGTCTGATGCCAGGGGCACCATTGGGGGAAGTAGTTTACTTGTCGCCTTTCCTTCCACTTGAAGGCTTTGGGTCAGCTCTATGAGATATAAAAAGGAGACGTCACAAGAGATACAATGATGCACCGTCTGCGTCACTCACCTGTGTGATAGAAGGTTAAAAGCACCAACAGGAGCCCGGTGAAGATATTACTGAGGAAGGTGACGAATCCGCAGGTGATCCCCTCCGGCACCGGATAAACCGTCTCCACGAACATCTCAAAGAAGATCGGCACCGTGCCGTTCAGGAAAACGCCGATCAGGATACACGAGGTGTACAGAGTCGCTGCAAGACACAAACAGAACACAACCTCAACTATATAGACAGACGGGGGCGTCAGATTGACAATGTGCGCTCCTTTCCTGCTCCCCCATCACAGTGCCACCTGTACTGGAGAACAAGACTGGCTAGCCACATGATAAAAGAGAACCTGTCACAGTAACATGGGAGCCATCATTGCTGGCGTCTGTTATAAGGGGGTTATCCTCATCATGGCTTCACTTTATGAGTCATTGACCCGGAACAAGAGGACCCCTGGTGTCACCATTCAATGACTCGAGAAGATTGTTGGTGTCACCAATCACTGGCTTGCTCTGAGATTCAAGGACTGAAGCCAGGAGGGCAGTAATGGCAGTCAATGACAACTCCTGTCATTCTATCCTGGCAGGTTCCCTTTAGAGCAGAACTCCGGGCAAACAGCTGAAATACATATCTGGGAGACGCTTTACCCATCAAAGGCTTTTGTATTTCTATCCATCCAGATTTACACAGCATAGCTCTAATAGAGGAGGGAAATTGTTCTTTGATATAGAGAGATACAAAGTAACATTGTTTATAAACATTGATCAGAGGGAGATAGAGAGATACAAAGTAACATTGTTTATAAACATTGATCAGAGGAGAGATAGAGAGATACAAAGTAACATTGTCTATAAACATTGATCAGAGGAGAGATACAAAGTAACATTGTTTATACACATTGATCAGAGGGGAGATAAAGAGATACAAAGTAACATTGTTTATAAACATTGATCAGAGGGGGATAGAGAGATACAAAGTAACATTGTTTATACACATTGATCAGAGGGGAGATAAAGAGATACAAAGTAACATTGTTTATAAACATTGATCAGAGGGGAGATAAAGAGATACAAAGTAACATTGTTTATAAACATTGATCAGAGGGAGATAGAGAGATACAAAGTAACATTGTTTATAAACATTGATCAGAGGGGAGATAGAGAGATACAAAGTAACATTGTTTATAGACATTGATCAGAGGGAGATAGAGAGATACAAAGTAACATTGTTTATAAACATTGATCAGAGGAGAGATAGAGAGATACAAAGTAACATTGTCTATAAACATTGATCAGAGGAGAGATACAAAGTAACATTGTTTATACACATTGATCAGAGGGGAGATAAAGAGATACAAAGTAACATTGTTTATAAACATTGATCAGAGGGGGATAGAGAGATACAAAGTAACATTGTTTATACACATTGATCAGAGGGGAGATAAAGAGATACAAAGTAACATTGTTTATAAACATTGATCAGAGGGGAGATAAAGAGATACAAAGTAACATTGTTTATAAACATTGATCTGCCTGCAGCAGACTGATCTCTGGGGGGAGAATGAGGAAATGCTTCCTCCTGCCTGCAGCAGACCGATCACTGGGGGGAGACTGAGGAAATGCTTCCTCCTGCCTGCAGCAGACTGATGACTCTCTCAGCCTAAGCAATAATTGGAGCTAGGATGGCTTTCCAATGATAAAATGATGGAGCTTTCCCAAATAATTATAGCGAAGCTGTATACTGTAACATATTCAGACAGACTTGTGGAGCAGGTAGTTATTTTGACAACTTTGGGGTTAACAACAATAATAAAGTCGCTCTGCACCATGTAATTTATGCTGATGTACGGAAGAAAGACAAAAATACTATATTTACAAGAATCTGCTGGCGCGCAGCAATCTGCAAAATAAATATTTCTGGGAAGCGCGGACACAATTGCCGCGCGTCGGCATATTCCAGGACGAGGGAGCGCGAGACGGACGGCTCTAATGAACAATTCTCCAATCAGGCCGATTTACGAATCATTACTCGCGAGGCCCCCGGAAAACCATTTGCCGCCAACAACGCAAATCAGTATCGTCAGCGACAATTCAGGCAGACGAGGCCGACCTCCGAATTATCACCCTCAATATTTATATATATATAAAGACACAACTACTCCGCATTCCAGAGACAAAGACAATTCCCCGTCAGCGATGCAAATCAACACAAAGCGATATAAAAAGGGTTCCGGCAAGACGGAGATCGGCGACATGAAGAATGGAAACATTGTTACCTTCTAAAAAGGAATAAAAACATTTTACTGCAACATTGTATTGGAGGAGAACTCAGATGTTGATGCGATTGTCGGCCCGGGTCCCAGTGAGCAGTGACCGAAGCCGGATCAATCTCCCACCTGCACTCACCACCGATGCCAGGGGCAAATTTCCACTCATCACCAATGCAAGGGATCTAGAATGACTATTAAAGCAGAACTCCGGGCATATCAAATATTAACCCTTGCATGGCCGGGGTAGCCCCACTGCAAGGGTTAAAGGTGAACTATGAGGGGAGTGATTTTCACTCATCCTCATAGTTGGAGCCGACGTGCGGCAATGAAACTGCGACAGGTCGCCTCAATAGATCGGGAAGTGAGAGAACACATAGCTTCGCTCGCTCACTTCTCGATCATGTCCCTGCAGGGAGCCGTGACTGTCACTCACGGCTCCCTGCAGGGATTCCGACGTGTGACAATGAAACTGCCACAGGTTGCCTCAATAGATCGGGAAGTGAGGGAACACATACCGTCGCTCGCTCACTTCTCGATCATTCCGCCCCCTCCCCTGTCCGATCCTCCAGCGCTGAGGGGAGGGGGCGGGTACAGCTGGCTCTGCCTCTAGATAGGCAGAGCCAGCTGTCAATCACGCAGCTGGGTGGATCTCGACAGTAATGTCGGGATCCGTGTCGGCTGCGGCGGTCTCAGTATATAGCTATAGCTCGCGATAGACTGAGCTTTGGGTCACAGGAAGACGCAAGTATAGGTCCTCCCGGGACCCTCAGGTGAACTATGGGGAAAAGCCCTGACCCCTAGTTCTCCTTTAAGTGCTTGTTTTGTCTAGGGAGCGAAAAATAAAAGTTAGTTATTCTGGCTGGCTCCTACACCTCTCCCTGCAGCCTCGCTCCCCCTCCACTACAGTCAATGGTACGGCCCTCGGCACCTTCCTGTCCAACACACTGTATTGGAAGTGATGACTCATACGACCTCAGACCACTGGAATGCAGGGGGGAAGCAAGACTGAAGGGACCGGTCTTAAAGCAAGCCAGGATCGTGGTTTGGGTGAGAATAACTGATATTTTAGCTCCCTAGATAAAACACGCAATTAACCCTTACAGCTCAGGGGTAGCCCCACTGAAAGGATTGAGCTTTGATTTGACCGGAGTTTTGCTTTAATGTTGTACTGTCCCGCCTTTCTTTTCTGCAGCTGCTTTTCATTTCAACATTACTAAAAACGAAAATTTGGTAGAGGTTGGCAACCTTGTCAGTTGTGGAACTACAAGTCCCATGGGGCATTGCAAGACTGACAGGCACAGGAATGACTCCCAGAGGTATGGGAACTGTAGTTCCACCAGACCTGGTGTGCTGAGGTCACCTACCTCTGTTGTAGAGGGTTTGTAACCAATTATTCGGTGTCGATATGCTTGGTACTTATTCTTTTATTAACAACTTTCTTCAACTTATTGATCAAGCTATTTATAATGATCCATAGGAGGTATGATGATTTTTAGCAGGGGTTACCCAACACCCGATAGATATTTTCAAGGTTCCATCGGGGTTGGAAAAAGGATGCTCTAGAGCAGTGGTTCTCAACCTGTGTAACCCCAGCACCCACATTTGTCCTTGGACATTAAGTGGCGACCCAAGTTACACTGCAATGGAACGCACAGCATTGCGGTACCGTGCGTTCCGGTGTGGGCGATCCGTGCGATCCTCAGCTTGAGAGGATCCAGTGCTGGGCTGCTGGGTTGTGACGGAGCTCCATCCATACATGCATTGCTTGTACAACTCCCATGTGCGCCCTGTAGAGGTGCTAGGAGCCAAAATGTGACGTCACTCCGATCCAGGCACCTCTACAAGGTCACGTGAGGGAGCTCTAAACAATGCATGTATGGATGAAGCTCCCTCGTGGCCATAGCTCCCCTCCCCACCCCTCTTCTAGCTGGCACTTGGCACCAGGCAGCATATTCTGAATGGCTGCTCAGCGCAACAACTGATATTGCTACGCTAGGGGGAAGCGGAGGAGCTTCTGACCTAGAAAAGTGGAAGGCATGAGGCTGCCCACTGAAAACGGGGTCGCGACCCACTTTTGGATCACGACCCACCAGTTGAGAACCAAGGCTCTAGAGCACGTGTGTCAAACTCAAGGCCCAGGGGCCGAATCCAGCCCACCAGGCCATTTCACAGACTTCTACTTTCAGATCTAGGTATTAAATATTACTAAAACCCGTGATAATGGAATGCAGAGGCAATTATGATAAAGATGAGATACATTTATATAGTCTTACAGATACCTTTGAGGGCAATCATAACTTTGATGCGGCCCTCGATTAAATTGAGTTTGACACCCCTGCTCTAGAGTCAGCGACTGACAACCTTGTGGATCTATAACTGGAGACGACTCGTCCTTATGGCTTCTACAACCTCATTTAAATGACAGATTTGCACTCCGCGCGGTGACCTTGTGTGGGGGATGAAGCTGTTTAATAAGTGGGTGCAGAGTTTTCCCGTGACAGGAGGCCGTGAAACCATGACGAGGGTTGTAAAAATGGTTGCTGAAGCTGAATTATGACCTCCTTCAATGGAGAGACACTGAACGAAGCTGATGAATACATATGTCAAACCTCGTATAAGGTGAGAGCGGATAAAGTCGCTATGGGATCCTCTGCTGGCGGCTTTCACTGGCGGCTGAAGGCGAACACGCTGCTGTTCAGATCACTGACAGTAATCTGTGCAGCAGCGCGTTCCTCTCCGCAGAGTCAATGAGAGCCAGCAGCTGCAGTGGAGGAGGAGGCGGGGCTCTTGGTCGGCAGCAGGGGAGGAGGCGGGGCCCGGTGAGCAAGGAGGCGGGCCCAGCGACGGAGGAGGAGGGGCCCATCAGCTACCGTGGACGAAGAGGAGGCGGACAGGTAAGGAGTGCGACCAGCCCACCTGAGGGTGACCCTGCAGAGCCCGCCATAGAGAGGCTATGGTGGGCTCTGCAGGGTCACCCTCAGGTGGGATCTCGAGTGGGCTCTGAAAGGGGTATAACTAGAAATCACGGGGCCCCATACAAAATTTTGCTATGGGGCCCTGTGATTTCTAGTTACGCCCCTGCTTCTTTATATTGAGTCCAATGAGATTTTAAAATACCAGTCACATGGCTATATTTAAAGATAAAAAAGTCAGGATTCCTTTAAAATTCCCCCCAAATTTCCCTTCCCCAAGAACAAGAAGAAAAAAAAAAGTCTAACTTTGCAGAAATCGAGCTTTTTAAATTGCACGAGGTCATTGCTGCTACTAACACAATGAAGGAATAACCAGCCGCTGGGAGGAGGCATCACCGAGATGCTGGACGTCACATCCTGTGTCTATCCCGGGAGCCGCTGTGAAACCACAAGTCCCATAATGCTTTGGGCCATTAGTGATAGCGGTGGATTGTGGGCGGGAGGTCATTTGCAAGACCGCCACTCAAGTCATGGAATTGTGAATGGGCGGAACAGACGGGGAGTGTGATGAGCTGTCAGACAGCCAATGAAGCATGGAACTGGAAGTCTGATTAGCCTGGGGCCCCATGCTACAGGCACTGGCGACTAGTGACAAACTACACACGACAGTTCTGCTGGCCATATCACTAATATTGTCTTCGTTCAACCTGCAGGCTTAGAAACATTGATTGAGGAATCTCGTGCTGTCTTCATTGTATTCTTGGCAGTGACCTCCAGGCGCTGTCAGAATACCCGCACAGAGCCGGCTGGTCATTGAAGGAGCTGGTCGGAAAATCTTCAAGAGTGGGTAGTCAATCAGCTGATTGAGAGATGCTTGACGAAAGGGTGAAGACAGCGGCACCCCCTATGCGAATAGTCACACAGTGTATGGCCGCCGTTACCCAACAGGTGGGCCAGCTGAAGGAGAGATCAGAGCTTACAAGCTTGACAAGTTTCTCTTGCAATCCAAGAAGAGCCTGGAGGGAACTTAAAAGTACATGACATGGATAACCCCTGAGCAGCAAGCGGGACAGGAAGCAGAAAAGCTGATTGCCCAGGCAGTACCACTCCAAGTGGGTCAGAGAAAGCCAGAAAACCGCGTCCACCTCTCAACTAACACAGAACGAGCAGCTAGACTTTGCTCTGATGCTAAAAAATAAAAACATGAGATTGATTGACCTTCATGCTTTTATAACCTCCCCTACTGAGAGAAGTAAAAGAAAATCTTCAGTAAAAACAGAAAAACCAAGAAGAATAAAAATATGGCGTCTGTAGGAGTCTTCCTTTTGCAGACATGAAAAGGAGAACTATGAGGGGCGTGATTTTCACTCAGCCTTATAATCTGAGCCGACCTGTGACAATGAAACTGTCACATGTCGGCTCAGTTGATCGAGAAGTGAGCGAGCGATGGTATGTGTTTGCTCACTTCCCGATCTACTGAGCCGACATGTGACATCGGGAAGTGAGCAAACACATACCATCGCTCGCTCACTTCTCGATCTATCCATGCAGAGAGTGGTGACCATCACTCACGGCTCCCTGCAGGGATTCCGCCCCTCTCCTGTCCGATCCTCCAGTGCTGACTGGCAGAACGGACGGGGGAGGGGGCGGGCACCGCTGGCTCTGCCTCTGGATAGGCGGAGCCAGCTGTCAATCCCGCAGCTGGGTGGATCCAGACAGTATTGTCGGGATCCTTCCCGGCTGCGGCGTCTTAGTGTACCGCAAGCTACAGCTGAGCTTTGGGTGACAGGAGGACGCTAGTTTGTGTTCTCCCGTGACCATTAGGAGAACTATGGGGAAAAGCCCTGACCCCATAGTTCTCCTTTAAGCGGAGACTGAGGAACCCGTGCTGGGGGAGCACTTAGCCCACAGAGGTGGGGAAACGGTTTTTGATATGGAGCCTCCTATACCCCAGAGGTTTTCTGAAGTAAGCAGCCGATATTTGTGAAGCCTTGACTTACCTGTACAGAGTGTCCATGCTCCCTGCACCAGAAGCCGAAACCGGAAATGGAGAGATGGAGGCCCATCCCCACCCCCCGCACTTCACTAGCCAAGACTCAGTTTTTGTTTCCTGACATCGCCCCACCGGAAGTGTCGTCCGGCACCCTTAGTGAAGGAGAAGAGCTGTAACACACGGGTAACTGGCTGGAGACCCTGCTTCCCCGAAGAGGGGAGCCTGGGGAGGTCCTAGAACCCTGGAATCATGGAGCTGAGGGAGGGAGCCATCAGCTGCATCCTCACCAATCGGCTGGTTGGTCCAGGAGGCTAGAAGAAAAAGGACTGCTCACCTACCCGTCATCAGACATGTAGTCTGGAAATATTGGGATGGTGATCGCTAGAGAGACAAATATCTGACTTTCATTTCAAAATATGTTAGCAGTGTGACGACATGGTCATCAGTTTATGGGTTATGTGTGTGTATTGGTGTTGGGTTTTGTTTAATTATGTTATACTGGGTAACCTGTGTATGAAGGTAACCTGTGTCTGAAGGAGCTCAGGACAATGACATTCTGGCCAGGCTCCTGCTATGGCTGTCTGGAGCTCTAAATCAGAGTTTGTTTCACCCTACGCTCGAGTCTCGACTAGTGACTGGGGAAACTGGGAGATAAAGATCTTCGGGTGGCAATATCTCCTGAACAAGGAAGAATACAGCGGCGGACATACTCCTCTTGAGAACCGGGGTCCGTCACAAGCAGCACATAACAAAGAAAGATCGTACCCAAAGCAGGTTGTAATCTACAAGACAGCTCGCCAAAACCCACATAGAAGATGTTTTTACATTTTGTAACAGAATAACATAAAACAATTATTTCAGTTATGCACCGAAAACCGCAAGGATCAGATTGGAGAAATCAAGTGACATGGTGACCTGTGCACACTTACCTGTAGTGAGAGGAAGGTGAGTGAAATTACTGAGAAAGGTGAGCGTGAACCACGTGGCTGCCAACGTGGAGCCTGAGAAGAGTAAAACGAGAATGGGCTTCAGGACTCCCCGGATGGAATCTGCGAACCTGGAAGAAGGAGAGAGGACAGAGATCAGGACTGTGATTGGAGCCATTGCCATTTTGGTTTTGCTTGCTCGGTGCAGACACACACTGGTGGTATTCAGCTGCCATTTTGCTGTGCTGGACTTTGAGTTGGAATGGCCTATCTTCAGGCATACCCGCTCTCAATGTACCCATTGTTATGTATATACCAAGATGGGAGTGTGACGGACTGAACCGTCACTGGGGCTGCTGGAGGAGCCTGAGGGCTCCTTCCTACTGACTATGGACCTAGAACTATGGAGACCCTCCCCCCCCCCAGACCTCTTGGGGTTACATGGACCCATTCTCCTAGGTTTATGTGTGGAGTGAAAATACTGCATGTTTCCCCTGACATGACATTTAAGTGACCCTGTGTTCATTATAGGCAGCAGGCTGTCTGGAGGGGCCATTGTTTAGGATGATCAAGCTCTTATCTAATGAAGGACATTCATTAGGTTCAACGAGTGTCTGTGCTTAAGGAATTCCAATGCGGCACCCGGCTGTCTAGGGGCGGGAACTGTTCATTGTAACACACTGCACTCCTATCTCATCATGTGAGGTATAAACTCTGTGTGCTTTTTTCAATAAACTAGTTCTTGGTTTCCACCTCAACATTGGTGTTATCTGATGTTTGAGGAGTTTAGCTTTCTATTCTAATACATTGGTTCTGTCCAATAATTAGGCAGGCTTGGGCTGAGGACACTGGAATTCGGGTTCCAGCGGAGAGGAAGCTGATTTCTGACGGAAGTACCCAGTCGGGGTACCAGGCGGTCCGTCACCTGGAGCTCTATCAGATTAGATTTATGGACCAAACTTTACAGAGTGCCCTTGAGGAGGCATTTTGGCTTCCACATATTTCTACAAAATGTATGAAACTAAAACCTCACCTTTTAGAAATAAATTGTCGAAACCCTGCAGAATGTTTTTTGCCGACTAGCTGGTAGGAGAGCTGGCCATTAATATGGAGTTGCCCCCCGCCCTTTGCAGCTATAACATCCTCCACATTTCTGGGAAGACTTTGCACAAGATTTTGGAGGGTGTCTGAGGGAATTTGTCCCAATTGTGAGGTCGGGTACTGATGTTGGATGAGAAGACCTGGTTCACAACGTTCCAATTCATCCCAAATGTGTTCAGTAGGTAGAGGTCAGGGCTCTGTGCAGTTGGTGGAGGTGCCCTCCGCACACCTTTCAGCAGTCCCGGCCAACAATCAAATAAATGGTGCTCGAAGTAACTTCACGGATGGCACCGTGCAAAACACAAGATTGAAGAAAATAGGTCACCAGCACTCCATAAGTTAAAATGAATGAGTCCTTTTAATGGACAATGATGTCACAGAAATCCAACATGAGCCGACGTTTCGGGGCCACACAGGGTCCCTTCTTCAAGGCAAGAGATGTGACGAGGGCTCTGTGCAGGACACACGAGTTCCTCCACCAAGCTGGTCACACCGTGTCTTTATGGAGCTGGCTTTGTACACAGGGGACAGTCATGGTGGGACAGAAAAGGGTCTTCACCACAATTACCATATTGGAGTAAAATGTCTTTGTATGCTGTAGCATTAGGAGAGCCCATCTCTGGAAACACCTGAACTGCACCATTTGAAAGGGCGTTCACATACTTTTGGTCATATAGGGTTGGTGTGATGGTCACAAGATTTTGGAGGGTGTCTGTGCCCATTTTTTAGGTCAGATACTGATATTGGATGAGAAGACCTGGCTCACATTTGCCAGTTCACTTCATCCCAAAGATGTACAGTAGGGTTGGGGTCAGGACTCTGTGCAGTGAGTACTCTCCTTGTCACACTCCTTACCGATATGTCCCTTGTAGTGGGGGGTGCTCGCAGTGACCGCGGATGGCGCCGCGAATGTCAGCAAAATTGTAGAAATGTCACCAGTTTGGTCATATGACAAAAAAGTTCAATAAATTAAGCTTTTGCTATCTTAAAAGGACTCTGTGCAGGACACTGGACCAAGCAGGTCACACCTTGTCTTTATGGAGCTGGCTTTGTACACAGGGGACAGTCATGGGTGGAACAGAAAAGGGTCTTCACCAAACTGTGACCACAAGGCTGGAAGAGCCCAATGGTCTACAATGTCTTTGTATGCTGTAGCATTAACAGTGTAGTGGTCACAAGATTTGGGAGGGTGTCTGTGGAGATCTGGCCCATTTGTGAGGTCAGGCACTGATAGTGGATGAGAAGACCCGGCTCACAATCTGTACAGGACACTCGAGTTCCTCCACACCACGTTTTTTATGGAGCTGGCTTTGTACACGGGGGACAGTCATGGTGGGACAGAAAAGGGTCTTCATCAAACTGTTACCACAAGGCTGGAAGATCCCAATTGTCTACAATGTCTTTGTAACCGCAACTATTGTTATAACAATGTATAGATGTTTAACAGACACATTTTAAAATTCTATACTGCCCATAAATGAGTTCAACTACGTTATACATTTTCTTTTCCCCCCCTTTTTTACACTTGAAAATTCACCGTTTTCTGAACTGGGATGACGCTACAGTATAGTGATTAGTTCTCCATTGCTGTGGCCTTGCCGCCGGTTTGTCTTCATCAGCCATCCCCCGCGAGTCCCCGCAGAAGACGCTCCACATTATATCATACAAATATCAGCTTCCAAATTAGGAACTGAAACGGTGCTTTGTAATGAAGCCATTTTGGAGACACAATTACAGGCTGTCACGGTGCATTCGATGGAGGATAATGCGCAGAACATGACAGCATGAAGCCAAAATTGGGGCGATTTTTGCCCTCCTAAACACCAGCAGCTGCTGGAAGGGAAATACAAAAAGGCGTTTGGGTGGAATAATGAGGAGCCCGGCAGCCGCATGTCCTCGCTTAGGGAAATCTGTGTAATGCGACAAGAATTACGACCTCGTTTTCCTGATTACAACTTTTCAGCAGATTATTACAGCCGGACCCGTCATGGATCCAACCCAGCAGAGAAGACAGACGAGCGGCCTCGAGTCTCATTAGGCGACGACCGTTGTGGCTCGCGCTGCCGCCTGCCAGGATCGGCTGCTTCGATGACCTTCCTATTCAATGGCAAATTGGCTTTTCAATGCCACCTCGTCTACGCTTTAATATGACATGCGTTCTATTGCGATCCGACAGACGGAGGTTACTGCTGCCATAACTATTTTATTAGTCCAAAGACGACTGTATAGGCTCTAAGTGCCAGCGAATACAGTGGGCGACCGCTCAGGAGGGGGCAAGAAAAGAAGAAAAAAAAGGGAAAGTGTCAATGCGCTATAGTAGAGTATACACTACGCGAATTTCAGCCTGGTTATCCCCCTAATGACTGTTATTCTGATGACTGGTGGGGTCATGATAGAGGAGGAGGAAGCACAGAGTCACAGAATGCATGAAGCAGAAGCTGGGAGATCCTTGCGCTGCAGGTTCTCTGGCACAGCTTTCTCTCCAGCAAGGACAAGTTTGTTCCATCAAACTTTGTGACTGCATTAGAATGTGTGACCGGTGATGTGGTCACACTTTTTAACCTAATCCCGCCTACTTTTTCTGCGGTGGAATATGTGACCGGCAAAAGGTGAAGAATTCCACAGCTTTCTCAGCTGTTCCAGGGCAGATCGGCATCACAGATTGTATGTGCAGGAGAATCGATCTGCCCTGGAACAGCCGATCGGTCCTGAAATGTCACTTCTATCCAACTTTGTGGAATGTGAGATCGCACTCACAAAGTCGGATAGAAGTGACATTTCAGGACCAATCAGCTGTTCCAGGGCAGATCGATTCTCCTGCACATACCATCTGTGATGCCGATCTGCCCTGGAACAGCTGAGAAAGCATTGGAATTCTTCACCTTTTGCCGGTCACATATTCCACCGCAGAAAAAGTGGGC